AATCTACAAGCTTAGCAAAAGAATTTATGAAATTTTTGGGTAAAAGAGAATACCTTGTTAATGCTCCCTTCGTGAGTGTTTCACCGAATTTTTTGACCAATACTAATTCAATTTCTTGTTTGGTCAAGTCGTTGCCTTTTACACCTGTTATGAATGCAGTCACGTGGTCTCGTGGATCAGTTCTTCCATCGTATTTTGGAATATCGAGCATTTTGAATTTCTTTGGAATTGGGAGGGGAGCAGCACTTGGCTTCCAAGGTTGTTGTGAATATTTATCTATATCTATCCCTTTGATTATGGTGGTACTCCAGGTATTTGCTCTATGCGGTTACTTTGCTCCTTGAGTTGTTTCTGCAATGTTAGTACTAAATTTTGTAAATCGGAATTGACTAAGTTACCTGGTTCTCCTTCTCGTGACTCGTTGGGGATTCCACCACTACCTGAATTAGCAAGCCCAGAACGAGGATTCTCCAAAGTGTTGTTATTTGGAGTAGGTGTTGGTGGTGCAACAGGTAATTGGATGACAAAGGCCTCAAGAGCTTCATTGACCTATTGAGCGATTATCTTTTGCAAAGCTTCATTGATATCTTCATCATTTTCAAATTGAGCGTTTCCATTTGCATGAGATCCATCAGGAGTACCTTCTCGAGACCGCCGAGGGGAGCTTTGGGGAGAAGGGATCGGGGTGTGATCATCCTGTGGATTCCCCTGGAGTTGATGGTTTCCTTGGTTAACTTGGGAGTTATCATTAATGTTTGACATGGTTGATGCAACAAAAAAGGTTAGGCTAAGAAAGAATAGATTATCAGATTCCTGGTAACGGAACCAATTTGTTTAACCAAAAAGTTGAACTTCGGTCAAAGCTTTAATTTAGAAGAACTCGGGTTACTGATAATCAGAAATGAATAAGGGAAATTGATTTTGCTAACAACAAGATAGACAGAAGAAAACAAAGTAAACCAGTATATTAAGATGATTTCTCATGTCCTTACAAATGACTAATTTTCTCCTTTTNAATTTTTCTAACAACAAGATAGACAGAAGAAAATAAAGTAATCCAGTATATTAAGATGATTTCTCGTGTCCTTACAAATGATCCATTCTCTCCTTTTATAGTTATCTCAAAGATATACGTTTTGCCTTTTTCATAATAAGGCCATTATAGACAATTAAAGGCATTAAATACTATGTTACATAATCATTGTAATTTAATATAGATTCTCTAACTTTTTTAGTATCTAATGCTTATTAAATATTGTATATGTATTCTCTTGTGCTGTCAGATTCATTCTCCTTGATTTTTGGGTATGAATAGGTACGAACCAGCCTTCGTGTCATGACACATCATCTTCCAATCACTTCAATATGTAAACTCAATTTTCCCAATATAACTTTATCATTTTGATAGAAGGGTTTAAAATAACACCAATTAGCTAAATATGGGGAATTGGGTAGAAATATTTTTTAAACTTATCTAGCATAGATTCAACAACAGAAGTATATCATTCTTTCTTCTTCAAATTATGTAATAAAAGAGAAATTTTAGCAATATGAACTAAAGCATTAACAATAGTAGGATAATAAGCTTTAGAAGACTCAAATATAGCCACATAAAAGTTTTGTAAAAATTGTACAACATCTTCAATGACATCCCAAGTTCTAAATGTTAACAAACGGCTAGGATATTTACAATGAGAATTAGCAACTTCAGTTATAGGCATTCTATATTTATAATAACATCTTAAGAATAAATAAGTGTAATTCAACCTAGAAACTATTTCTTCAGGCATGAGTCTTGGTTTAAGTCCATAGTGTACACATTTTTCCTTAAATGCATTTAATCTAGCACTTCTCTTATTTTCTTGAATTGCACCAACAGCTCTTCTAACTAAAGTGATTTCATCTCTAAATAATTCAAGGTCATTCTTCACAATCAACTTATAAATATGACATGCACATCTAACATGAAATATTTCAGGAAGTGGTGGGTGTAGATGCAGTTTTAATATTGTAATAGCAAGCATTATCAAATGACATACACAAATATTTTTCTGCACGATTATAAAATATAGCAACTTCATGGATAGTATTACTTATAACTGCACCAGTATGACTTTGATTTTCACTATATTTAAAAGCAATAATACGTTTTTTGCATACAAAAATTATCATTTATCTAATGGCATGTAACAGACAAATAATCATTTTCATTTACAGCATGACCAATATCAGAAGTAAGAGAAACTCTACAAGAAAGATTGGAAAACAAATAACGTATATATGTCTGATATTGTCCAAAAAGCCTAAAGATATCAGCTCTACAAGTACTTCTAGGAATAACTTTAAACAAAAGGTTATAAATTCTTTGAATATAAGTAACAAGATACGGTGAAGAAGCAAAACTAAAAGGTAAACAACCTAAAACAATCATTTTAGCTAATTCTTCCCGATCATTCATAATATTGTATTTACCCATTAACCCCCTCAGTACTCGGTTTATGTTTTTGTTGCTCATCTTCCTCATCTACTCCCCAATTAAGAGGGTGGAGCTCTACCATATGTCTACGAAGTTGACCCGTTCCCCCTCCCTTACTTGGCCCATGTTTATAAAGTTCATTACAAATTTTACATTTTACATAATTTTTTGATCTTTTAGACTGTCAAACAAAAATCCAACACTTACTTCTAAATCTTCGGTTCTTCTTAATAGGGAGGGGAGGCTTACTTGTTCCACCCCTAATATTTTGAGTTTGACTAGCATTACCAGGTGTAGCTGGTGGTGTTTTAAGATTATCGGGTGATTGAATATCATCTAAAATATCATCTAAATCATAATCTATACCATAATTTTCTTGCATTCTCTCATAATCTACATTTAAATTTTCAGGTGAACTTTCATAAATATGTGTAAAGCTACTAGAAGAACCAACACCACCTTTTTATCTTTTGAAAGTTTTCTTGCTACCACTTCTACTAGTGCACGCTTTTTTGGCTGCTCTAAGTAAATTCATTATGTAAATTAAAATAAGAAATTAAATTAATAATTCTAAATAATAAAATAAGTATACACCAAAGAAGAGAAAGAGATGGAACGAGTGTATCGGAATTCCGAAGGCCGCACTAATTTTGATATCAAAAATCAAACTTCAATTGATAGACCGATATTTGATAGTTGATAGTACTTGATACCACACTTCACTTGAATACTTGATATTTGATAATAATAATTTTGTAATGGATAAACTAAATATTTGATAAAACTTGAAATAATAAGTAATTAAGAATTTAAGCACAATAATCAATAATATCAAGAGAGAATTAGAGTAGTAAGAGAGTGAATTGTGAGAAAAAATAAAGAAGAAGGGGGGCTATTTGTAGTTTTTAAAAGGTTAAAATTGTAGTTTTTCAATTATTAGGGGTGAGAGGGCTATTTTGTTAATGGGGGATGATGAAATGGCCATTTGTGCAAAATATGGTCGTTTCCCAACGGTCATTTCTGAATTTGACCGCTGGCAACGATCCACAAAATTAAAAAAAAAATTAGTAACAGTTACCGGACTAAACCGGGCTACAGCCCGTTAACGGCTTAATAGGCTTAGCGGGTTCCGGTGCACCGGTATCCAAAATATGTTCGTCTAAAACCCGCCCCTCCCAACCTGTCCCAGCCCACCCCAATATGGTACAGTAACAGGCTGAACCAGGCTAACCCAGACCGAAGCGGGTTGAAAACGGGTCAGCCCGCCCCAATTAACAAGTCCACTTAAAGGATGAGCCAACTTATACTTCCCAATTTCAGGAGGACTAAAAGCAATCCACTTGATTGTTTGAACCACCATGAGCTGAACTACATAGTATAGGAAAGGAGGAACATTATTATTTAAGTCTCTTTTGTACTCGCTCCATTTAAATTAGATGAGGTACTTTCCTTTTTAGTTTGCTCCAAAATAAATGATGTATTTCTATATATTGAAATAATTCAATTTTAAACTCTTCATTTTACCCATTTCACCCTTAATGAGATGTTTTTACACTTACACAAATGTCAGGCCCCACTAAACTTTTATCCCTTAAGATTTTAAGACCACAAGTTTCAAAAGTCTTTTTTTTTTCTTAAACTCCGTCTCGAGTCAAACTACCTCATCTAAATTGAAACAGCGGGAATAATATGTTCCTAAGTTCCCAAGTCTAAAGGTCAATGACCATCCGGTATAATAGGAGGTTGTTAACATTCATATAACCTGTTTGGTCAAGCTTCTAAAATTAGTTTATTTTAAGAAGTGCTTTTCTCAAAAGTATTTTTTGAAAAAGTGCTTTTAGTGAGAAGCAGTTTATGTTTGGCTAATTGATTTGAAAAACACTTTTGAGCAGTAATTAGTGTTTGGCCAAACTTTTGAAAACTGCTTCTAAGTGTATTATTCTTAAAAGTGCTTCCCAAAAAAGTATTTTTGAAGAGATTCTACTTTTTCTACTTCTCAAAAACTGTTTCTGCTTCTCCTCAAAAGCACTTTTTTCCATCTAAAAACTTGGCCAAACACCTCAAATTTTGGCCAAAAGTGCTTTTGACAAAAAACAAAGAGTACTTTTGGGGCCAAAAAAAACTTGGCCAAACAGTCTAAGGGTCGTTTTGTTAGGGAGGTTATGCTCGCTCATTTTTCCCCTAATTTTTCCTTGTATTTTTCGTTAGAGGTAAGATTTATGTCCCCTTAATGTACTCCTTTCTTTCTTCAATAATATACAATGTAGGGTCCATGATAATCCCCCATCACCGTGAGAGATGAAAGCCTGGGCGGATGAATTTAATAAATAAAAAAAAGAAGTATAAAACATCAGTTCAAACTTTTCATTCCATGACGCACGAGGAAAACTTGTGATTATGGAGAAGGTGAAAAAAACCCTTCAGATTGACCAGTCATATTAATTCCGTATAGAAAGTGAAAACTAAAACCAGTGTGAACTGTACTTAGGAAATTTCTAGGTTACTCCTGTTAATGTCACATCGATGAACAAAATAACCATGCATTAATCAACGGTTAATTAACTAGACTTGTTGCATAATGAACTTCCCTTTATTTTAATATTACACTACCACTTGAGTGAACAAGTTGAAAATACAACTTAGCAGCCAAATACTTCAAATAGTTAGCTTAAATAACGCTAATACCCTTTTGCAGTTTGCCTTCTGCCGAAAGTGGACGGAGTGGGATGCTTTGTTCATTCTTGAAGTAATTCTCAAGATCCACTCTACTCTTAATCTCCACCAACTTATCATAATTCTCCTTGAAATACTTGTCTCCATATCCTTTCCCCTGTAAATAGCTGTTCTGTCCATGGTGATTGATTCCTAAATCAAAGTCTTTGAAGTTCAAATATGCTTCCCTAGGGAACTTGGACACAAAAGGAGTCATGAAGTCATACAGCTTTCTTGTTAAACCACTGTAATAGTATTCAGCTTCAAATCCATGCTCTGTCCAATCTGTTCCATACATAATATTTGCTATGTTTCCTGCTCTATGAGGAAATGGTTTTGCATCAGGTGAAATCTCACTCATTTTTCCTCCATAAGGGTAGAAAGACATGTAAGGAGCCTCTAGTTCAACCATTTTCTTGAATATCAAATTTAGTCCTTCTTTTGGTATAGACCTCTGGAGATAGTCCGATTTTATCTTGCTATGATACAGTTCTGGAGGTGTTCTGTTGAGTAGAACTTCAGTTGATGTGCCATTATTAATGGGTAAATTGCCCCAATAGACCACTGATTCAATCCAACTTACTTGGTGACAATCTTGATTTTCCAATCCCAGTTCTGGAAAATTGTCATTCATGAGAGTGATGAGTCTTTCTGAATCTCCTAAGAAAAATCCCATAAATGTGGCTCGGATCGTCCTGTTTTTATTCTCTACTCCATGATTTGCTACATCAAGAATCATATTGAAGAATACATCTCTATCAAAACCATCTGCTATTTCTAGCCAACGGTGAACAGATTCAGTAATGTTATCTTCACCAGTTTTTTCTACTTGAAAGACTGTCACATTTTGTGGCACAGGGACTAACTTTATTTTATATGCTAAGACCACACCAAAACTTGCTGCACCACCCCCTGTAATGGCCCAAAACAAGTCTTCCCCCATTGACTCTCTCTCAAGAATACGACCTTGTGCATCAACTAATTTTGCATCAATAATATTATCAACAGAAAGACCGTATTTTCTCATCATGTTACCAAAGCCTCCACCACTAAAATGTCCACCTACACCATTAGTAGGGCACATTCCAGCAGGGAAACCGTGAACTTTGCTTTTATTTGCGATCGCATAGTAAAGCTCCCCAACAGTAGCACCAGATTGAACCCAAGCAGTCTCTTCTTTGATGTTCACAATGATGGACCTAAAGTTCAAAAGATCAAGAACGAAGAACGGGACAAACGAAACATAAGAAGAACCCTCATAATCATGGCCACCACTTCGGATTCTCATCTCAAGGCCATGGCTCTTGCCACATAAAATGGCAGCCTGGACATGAGATTCATGAGTAGCTGTGATAATGAGGCGGGGTTTTGGGGTATAAGACTCATTGAAACGAAGGTTTCTAATGGAAGCACTAAGGACGGATGAATATAAAGCGTCTTCTGGATTGTAGAGGTTTGTGGAGATTGGGAAAAGAGTATCTGAATAGAGTTTAAGGCATTGAATGAAGCTGAGATGATCTTGATCTTGGGCTAAGCTTGAGCTTCCCCATGAAACAAGAATAACAACAAGAAGAAGACGTATTGAGTGAAAGCCTGAAACTCTCATCTTGTTAATCTTCTGTGTATGAGAGCTAGTATCCTCGAACTGACTATAAATAGAGAACGGATTTAATTTTTATATATATTGATAGTTAAAGTTTTAATTTGTCTGTAAAATCTAACCAAATATAGCAAAGCATTACTCTATTTTTAAAGTTATCACGCTTATTATGAAAACTTACTCGTTGTTATAGTTAGATTACCTTTACCTTTTGTGTGAACAATTTATGCACTACTTTCCTTGATTCTTTTTGTAGTTTAAGATTTGACACATTCATCACGAAAATTATTTAATGGCACCGATTATCCTTTATCTCTTCTCAATATTTGGGGATTTTTTTAATTAAATCAGAGATCGTGTATTGGATCAAGGATAAATTAAAAAAGTAATTGATATTAGGATAATTATTTTGGATAAAATTTATTCTATTAAAGTACAAATAAAAAAAATGAAAGGAAATAATAAAAATATCATAGATAGTGTGTTAGAAGATCACTCGAAAAGTGAACTATTGAATGGGTCTAAATTTCATGCACGTGAAAAGCCTTGAAACATGTCTTCTTCAAACTCAAAAACTGCACCATTTTACATACGTTGAATGATTGCATGTTTCTGTTGGACGCAATGAATTGCCCATCCTTGGAACACGTATACACGGAGGCGAATAACGTCGCAGATGCTATGTCCCTATTTGGAAGTGTTAGCTTGGTGCACTCTTTCACACACCGTATAAGAATTTGGTTCTTATATCTGCTTCTCGTTAAACAATTAAAATAGAAAAGTGCAGAATTAAATACATATAAGATTTTTACGTGGAAAACCTCCTTGTTCAAGTGAGTAAAAACCACGACCCATCTCTGGGATTTTTCACAAAAACTTCGCTAAAACAACGAGCAGTTTCCGGTTACAAATCTCTTATAAACAAAGAGAGTAAATCCTAGCCACGTGACTGCTTACAACCACTCTGATTATAGCAAAATGCTCAAGCTAACTCTAGCCTAAGACTTGAATTCTCTCACAGAGAAAAATCTCTCAAAATGCTTCTTATATGAGCAAATAAGATTACAACTCAATAAGCCTAATACAATGAACTAGACTAGACACAATGGATTTGATACTATATCGAGGAACATGTTCTCTAGTCTGGTTCTTCTGCACATTCCAGACTTCAATATCCAGTTAAGAATTTTAAACTCATTTTTTCTTACTTTTCTCTCAACTTACTCTGAAGAAATAATGGAAGTGTGTGCCTGCAATGAAGTAAACTTGAACTACATACAGCTAACACATTACCCCAGGCGATGCCAGCTCCAGCGCCAGCTTTACCCCAGGCGACGCCAGCTCAACGCCTAGTGTACCTGGCTTTACCCCAGGCGACGCCAAGCTTATCGCCTGGTTTCCTTCATGTGACGCTGAAAACTTTGCTCGACTTGCCCAAAATCACCTGCAAACTTGTTAGTACCTAAAAACGAAAAGAAAAACTCTAATTATACTAAAAGTCCACTACGAATTGGGTTGCCTTCCAACGAGCGCCTTAGTTAACCTCGTGGCTTGACGAATACAACAGTCCAAATGGGTTGCCTCCCATGAGGCGCCTGATATAACATCGCGGCACGATGCAGGTAAGCGCATTTAAGGCATGCTCAACATCGGTGGCTCGAGCAAATGAGTCACTGACACTACTTTCGCGTCATCCATGCCCAAATAATATTTTAACATGTGCCCATTGACTCTGAATGTGTGAGAGTCATTTTCCGCAATAATCTCTACGGCACCAGTGGGGTGGATCTCTACCACACAAAATGGTCCTGACTATCTTGACTTTAATTTTCCCTAAATAACCTCAATCTTGAATTGTATAGCAATACCCTATCTTCGGGTTTAAAACTCCACTCGAGAATATTTTTGTCATGTATCATCTTCATTCTCTCCTTGTATAATCTTGTGCTCTCAAAAGCGTGGTATCAAAACTCATCAAGCTCGTGCAACTCCGTGACTCTACTTGTACCAGCAGCTTCTATATCGAGATTCAACTGCCTAAGCGCCCACAAATCTCTATGCTCTAACTCCACTAGTAAGTGACACACCTTCCCAAATACCAATTTGTACGGCGACATGCCAATCAGAGTTTTGAAAGCGGTGCGATAGGCCTAGAGTGCATTATCTAGCTTTCTCGCCCAATCCGTTCTTGTAGCATTCACATTTTGTCAAAACGCTCTTTATCTCTCTGTTTGTAACTTTCACTTGCCCATGCATTTGTGGATGATATGGGGTGGCAACCTTGTGGTGTACATCATATTTTTCTAAAAACTTTGTGAAGGCTCGATTACAGAATTGAGTGCCTATGTCACTGATTATTGCCCTTGGAGTGCCAAATCGGGTGAATATATTCTTTCTCAAAAAACCAATTACCCCATTTGCAACATTTGTAGGGAGCGCCGCAACCTTTACCCATTCCGATACGTAGTCCACAGCTACGAGTATGTACTTGTTGCTATATGAGTTGACGAAAGGCCCTATGAAATCGATCCCCCATACATCAAACATTCTATCTCCTGAATTGGGTTCATAGGCATCTCATGTCAGCGGGAACTATTCTCGGTTCATTGGCATTCATCACAACCCTTCACCCATAAGTGTGCATCTTTGAACAATGTCGGCCAGTAGAAACCCGACTTCAACACTTTCGTCACTATCCTTACTCTCCCGAAATAGCCACCATATGGTAATGCAAAATAGAAGATTGGTCTATCTCGGGGATACATCTCCAGATCATGTTATCAACACAAATCCTGAGTAGATAAGACTCATCCCAATAATACATGCGACAATCATGAAAGAACTTTTTCTTTTGGACAGAGGATAGGTTAGAAGGAATAATACCGCTCACCAGGTAGTTTGCGATGTCTATGTACCGTGGCGCTACCTCAAGACTCGTGGCTAATAGTTGTTCATCCAGGGAAGTCTCCACAATCTCTTCCAACTTAACCTTCTTCTCGGCTCCCTCCAGCATAGACAAGTTATCAACCGTGTGGTTCTCCATTCCCTTTCGGTTACAGATTTCCAAGTCGAATTCTTGCAGTAGTAGCACCCATCAAATCAGGCGCGGCTTTGACTCTTTCTTGTCGATTAAGTACCTGAGAGCAGCATGGTCAGTATAAACAATTACCTTCGAGTCTATTAGGTATGACCTGAATTTGTCAAATGCGAACACATGTGCTAGCATCTCCTTCTCGGTCACTGTGTATTTTAGTTGGGCACTACTCAGAGTTCTACTTGCGTAGTATATTGGATGCATGACTTTGTTTTTTTTTGTTTCCCAAGAACTGCTCCCACAACATAGTCACTCGTATCACACATCAGCTCAAATGGTTTATCCCAGTCAGGTGCAACTATGATAGGTATTGTTATTAGCCTCTTCTTCAATTCCTCAAAAGCTACCCTGAACTCATCAGAAAACACAAAAGGGTGATCTTTCTCAAGCAATTTACACAAGGGGTTAGCAATTTTGGAAAAATATTTTATAAATTTCTTATAGAATTCGGCGTGCCCGAGGAAACTTTTTATTGCTTTGACGAAAATGGGTGGTGGAAACTTTTCCTTCACATCAACCTTTGCACGATCTATCTTAATGCCTTTAATAGACACTAGGTGCCCCAAGACTATACCTTCCCATACCAGGAATTGGCACTTTTCTCAATTAAGTACCAGATTAGTCTCGATACACCTCTTCAATACTTCTCAAGTTTATAAGACAATCATCGAATGAGTTCCCCACCATTCAGAAGTCATCCATGAAAACCTCCATTATTTCCTCTACCATATCTGTGAAGATGGCCATCATGCACCTTTGGAATGTGGCAGGTGCATTGCATAGGCCAAACGGCATTCTCCGAAAGGCATAGATACCATAAGGGTAGGTGAATAATGTTTTCTCTCTATCCTCCGGAGCAATAGAGATATGATTATACCCCGAGTACTCATCCAGAAAGCAGAAGAGGGACCTCCCTACCAATCTATGTAGCATTTGATCAATGAAAGGCAGTGGGAAATGGTCTTTCCGGGTAGCCATATTCAACTTTCTGTAATCATACAGATTCGCCAACCTGTGACTGTTCGTGTTGAGATCTACTTGTTCTTCTCATTCTTCACTACCTTCATACCGACCTTCTTTGGCAGACATTGAACTGGGCTGACCCAGTTATCGGGCCCCTTTTTTGTTTTCAAAGAGGAAATCGGGTTCATGACATTTTTGGCATAGGACAACTCTTTTCCTTTTGGGAAGGGGTTTGCAATTTTGAAGAGTCCCCACCTAATGATTACGGTGCATTAGGACACCAAAAGAGTTCGATTTGAATAACCAGAGATAGGGTAAGGGCTTGAAATTATTCTAAGGGGAAAGTGTTAGGCACCCCTTAGAATCCACTAGTATGGTTCTCGGCCAGACAATTATTGTGAATTGAGGTGAAATTAACGTATAAGCAAATAAGGCTCAAATAATAAGGGATTTCAACACATAATGATTTGAAAGTAAAAAAGTTTTGAAAGAACAATTAGAAAAGCTGGTTTTTTAGAATAAGGAGTTAAATTGCTAAAAGAATAAAGAATAAAGAAAAAGGGGTCCTAGGTTTATTAAAAAATATGGATCACCCCACACAATGTCCGATAATCACTCCTCAATGAGGGGCTACACGTGACATTATCGCGTGGTCATCATATCCATATCTACCCCTCCCACCCCGTTAAGGTATTAAAGCGTGGATTGGTCTCGATTACTTATTGCATGCTATTACCCGTCCCATTCCTATCAATCCCGGAGGCACTTAGGACTACTAATCCTAAAATGGAGGGATGCTAGGCTTATTTGGAGTTTCAAAGGTAAAAATTGTATGACGACATACAAAAATACATATTGCATATAAAAGGGGAAACACATAAGCATATAGGCTCAAGTATACCTCCTCGAACAAACACATAAAGTAGCATGTCTTACACATACTGCTTAGGTTTGATTTAAAAGCATTAAAGCGAGGGAGATGAGATTGTTGAGGCAGTTTTAG